GAAAGTATAAATATATATATATATATATATATACATACAGTTACGCCACACTTATTTTTAATGAAAAATAACGATAACATCTACGACTTTAAGTAGTATAGAATACATTAACTAAACTGTTTAGAAAACATAAAGGAGAACTACACTTAGGCCGAAAGCTCATTTACATATATCTAATATTATAAAACGATCTTTATTAACAAAATTCTCTCCAGAAGAAGAATTTAGTATAGACGGACGCTCAAAGGAAAACTGAACGGCTAATACTAACTCTCGGTCACAGTTTACCTAATTCTACAAAGTATTACAGAATGACTCTCAGACAATATCCCTAAAGCATGAGAAATCTGTTAAGACCATGCACTTCCATGAACAATCGAACGATCACTAATGACGCTCGACCATACTACAATATTTACTCATAATACTACAGTTTAAAGATCAAACCCTATCTCAACTGAGTTCACACCATTTATCAATCATCCATCCACACATACAAACATGCAGTAACACACATATTTCATACTCATCAAATAATCAAACAAAGTATCATACAAACATACAAACGTTCAAAACAAGAATCTTAATCAAATTATATAAGCTTCCTTACCTCTAAACGTAACCGAACGCTCACAGGTGTAGAATAAAGCTCACCACTACCAACGACCTTAACGTTCGACAGTCACGTTTTAGGAATACTAAACCAAACAGAAGACCAAAAAATACTCAGAATAATACGATTCGCTCAGGCGACCAAAAATATGGGTTTGCATGCGAGAAGAAACGAACGTGCTAAAAAGAAAGAAACTCACCGGCTTATAACCACAAACTGATCGGTTTAAACGAAAGCTCTTGACGCACAAACGGTGCCTGAGAGGTGATCGGAAGAAAAGAAGATGAGATTTTCTTAGAGAGAAGGTGGATATTTTAGAGAGAAGGAGGAGGAAACGTTTTCAGCAGTTTGGAGAAGAAGGAAAGCATGCAGAGAAGTGGCACGACATTTGAAATTTGACATTAAGTACTGCCGTCACCCAAAATCGAACGACCACTCTCCTGCAGTCACCTCTTTTCCACTAACTGAAACGCTGACTCTCTTCTTGGCACTTGGCTCCCACTACTTGGGGTTTTTAGTGGGTTTTAATGGGTCTGACAAAAACACTATGATTTGTTTATCAATTTTATAATATTTTATTTTATTAATTAGTCATAAACTCTTAAAATTAAGATGTTACAAATATCATTGTTAGAATTATTAAAATGATTATTAGACTTTTACAAGTTAAATTATAAAAATTGTTGAATTTATTTTCAATAATGAATTTAAAAATTCTTTATATAGTTAATAGGTCTTGATTTGTGATTTTAATAAAAGTACAAGTTATATTCTGAATAAATCAAAGTTATATTGTTTAAAAGTCGGAAATTGTTATATTAATTTTGAGTAAAAAAATTAAAATTTATTTTTTTTTGGATGAAACTGATTATGTTAATATTTTCTTGAAGTCACATTTTTATTCAACTTAATATATAACAAAGTAAATTTTAGTATTTGTTCTTTTTTTATACTTTGTAATTTTTTTTTCAAACAAATATTTGAATAGATAATTGGTCTATATCTAGTATTTTTTTAAGTAAAGAATTTTTATCTAAGTGAAAATAAAATATAAAATTAATCTTTTTCTCGACTACATTTTTTTTTTCAAACAATAGAATATTCATTCAAACTAACTAAATTTTGTTTCATGCTCCTTTTTTCTAATTGTTAGTTTATCGCTTTAATCAATTTGGCAATGAATGGTAGTCATGCAAATAATGGAATGTTGGTTTTTATATATTTATATCATCACTTTTGTGTGATGAATTATAAAGTTATTTATATGAATTGAAATATTATTTTAAAATGTTCAAATTAAGATTGAGATATTTTTACTCTATTAATATTGGACATATTAGGTGATGATGAGAGTTAAAGATATTTTTTTTTTAATATGTGATGCTAACAAAAAAAATGGGTTTGGTAAGTGAACAGAATTACTATTATGTAATTTTATTGTAGTATAACTTAATGAATGTAGTATAATAGATATAAATCTCCATATTTAATACTATGTATGTGTTTTTAAGTTATAGAAACAAAGTAAAGTCTTTATGATATTAATCTCACAAATTATGACATTAGAGTTAACTAGTTGAATTCACAAACATTATCCTAAAGATTAATGAATGGTGATTTTGAATCACATGCATAAATTATAAATTTTTAAATAATATTATATATATATATATAATTAATTTTTTTTATTGAAACCAAAGTGAGGCATAGAAAAGAAAATGAACATCAAAGTATAATTTTAAACATATTAAAAGTCTCCACTAACAAATGAAGTTAAAAGCAAGAAAAAAAGTAAAATAGAAGTAGAAAGAAAAAAAAAATGATACTTCTTTTTCCCAATATAAGCAGAGGCAGAGGAGTGGAACAGAGCACACCAAAACAAGAGCTGAAGTTACATGAGAGTGATGACATTCTCCGTCTTCAAACTTCTTCTGTCATCATTCCTTCTCTGCAGTTTCTTGCAGGAACCCACCAATGCCCTTAGAAAGGCAAGTAACCTCTGCATTGCATTTCATGTTTTCACTGTTAATATATTGAACAGATGTAACATAGAAATTTGATCATGGGTGCTCTGTTTTCAGACGTACATTGTGTACATGGGAGGACACTCTCATGGTCCAGACCCTTCTCCCACTGATCTTGAAACAGCAACAAATTCCCATCATCAATTACTCGCTTCTGTCTTAGGAAGGTAACACAACAAACACATTTGTTCTGTTAAATTAATGTTATCCAGACATTGGCATTAANTCATTCCTTCTCTGCAGTTTCTTGCAGGAACCCACCAATGCCCTTAGAAAGGCAAGTAACCTCTGCATTGCATTTCATGTTTTCACTGTTAATATATTGAACAGATGTAACATAGAAATTTGATCATGGGTGCTCTGTTTTCAGACGTACATTGTGTACATGGGAGGACACTCTCATGGTCCAGACCCTTCTCCCACTGATCTTGAAACAGCAACAAATTCCCATCATCAATTACTCGCTTCTGTCTTAGGAAGGTAACACAACAAACACATTTGTTCTGTTAAATTAATGTTATCCAGACATTGGCATTAATTAAAGTCTGTTACTTTAACAGTCATGAGGATGCAAAGGAAGCAATTATGTACTCTTACAACAAGCATATCAATGGCTTCGCGGCCTTGCTCGAAGAGGAAGCAGCAGCAGAAATAGCAGGTAAGAAGATATTGTGTATGTGATTATTAGCATGTCCCTCATTTTGTACATATGTTGAAGCCACATAATTTTGATCTGTAACAGAGTACCCAGAGGTAATTTCTGTTTTCTTGAGCAAAGAGCACAAATTGCACACTACCAGGTCATGGGATTTTCTGGGACTGGAAAAGAATGGAAAAGTTGCTGCAAACTCTGCTTGGACCAAAGCAAGATATGGTGAAAACACAATCATAGCCAACATTGATACAGGTTTGCTTGCTCTTTATTTAAAACTTATTAAATCTACTAACTTGAACGCGGATAAAATTTCATACAGTAACGATTATATCATGATATATTGACACAAAAATCATTTTAAGTTTTTATTTGAAAAAAAAATAGTATGTTTTCTTCAATTCTATGCATTTTGATACATTTTTTTTTATTAAAAGATTATTTCTTATTGTAAAACGATCTCAATTATAAAAATATAAGTTTCCTATATGATATTATTTTCAAAATATAATTACAATTTTTCCTCTATTGCAAAAATCTTGTAAAATTTATATTTTAATTGTTATAAAAGTCGATTAAAAATTAAAATTATTTTTTTTTAATTTTATATTATATTTACATAATCATGACTATCTAATAATATTATGGGATATTATAAAAATCATATGTTAAATTATTTAAAAATCATTTTTATAATTTTATGGTTGAGAGGTTAGAAATAATGTGTTTTAAACTATATCGAAATATATAACTAATATTTTACTTCAATATAAAAAAA